TTTTGCATTTGTCAGCTGCTCCCCAAAAGACATCCTTGCTAACCTTCATCTAGGCAGAAATACAGACAGTTCAGGATATGACCATGACATGAAGGAGAAGAAAAGTGATGCAAAAACTCTGTGCTCCATTCTGTAAGGACAAAAGTCTCCACTGCCCAGAGATATGCTCTGAGATGGCAGTGGAGTCAATGTTGGGATGTGCTACTGCCATTTGTCTTTCTGGTAGGTTTTTCCCATTTGGAAAATCCTTGCAAGGAGGAAAGTGGAGCTCTTCCCCATGCATTAGCCCGTGATCTGTTCTGGGCCCATGTGTAGAACTAGTCAGCTTAGTAAATGGGACGTAGTTTTTTAGGACTATGGTTTAGTGGTTGTGGTGGTTGTGGGTTGATGGTTGGTCTAGGTGATCTTATTGGTCTTTTCTAACCTTAATGATTCAGTGATTCCAAATGCTGTGGAAATAGGCAGAGATTTCCCAGCCCAGAAAGTGTACATGGAGACTGTCCAATAACAAATCCAAATATACCTGTAGAAGAACCAGCAAGCATCCTATTAAGTGGTTTCCTTGCCTGTCCCACAGATCCAAACTTAGTGTTTGGCCACAGCATGTAGGGTGAAAGATGGATGGTCTTTGGGATACACAGATGCTGTGAGTGTGGTAGGTAAGAAATGGACAGCTTTCTCAAGGATGAGAAACAGATCAGCTGAGATCTGAAACCCAGAGAGTTTAGACACGAGAAGTGCCACTAACTCCTTTCACCATGTTGCATTGGTTTGTGAAGTCTGAGACGCATTTATCCTTTACCTCTCATTGAAGGGGAACAGGAAAGATTGAGCAGTGACATCACAAGCTGGTGAAGGAGGAGATTCTTATTTGTGGACCAAGCATTTGCCCCTCTCTATTTGCATTCAGTGTAGAGTGGTTTGTGTATGTGTGTTAATATCTTCTGAAGGAGAGAAACAGGGTACCACCAGCTGCTGCTGCTGTTTTCAGTGGGGTTCAGGATGCCTTGAAGCCTGGCTGTAAATACACCTAACTCTGCTCTTTCATGGCTGCACATCTCAGCACTTACTGTAGGTGTTTGCAGGCACGCAGGCAATTATCTGTGTTTCTCCATGTCTCGTGTGTTGGTACCTTGGTCTGACCATGTACCTGTGTCTCTGCCTGTGGGACAGTACAGTGCTGTAACGAGGGATGTCCTGCAGTCAAAGCTGCTGCGATAATTACGGCAGATAAACTGCTCTGCTTGAGGGCTGCTGTTCCCACCAGTCTGCGAGGCAAGCAGCCTGGCTTAACCACTGAAGTCTATTCATTTTAATAAGAGGGACACCCTGTGTTATTAAGAGGAGTGTTTATTACTGTCGCTGCGTGCTGACAGCAGTTTCCATCATCGTTAAAAGGCAGATGGGGGGAGGAGGGTAGGGAGCTGTATGTTCCCATCTTGGAGGCTAGGACCCAGCTGGTAAGGAGGCAGCAGGCTGCAAGGCTTTCAGCCCAGGGAGAAATCACCATGTAGAGATGGGCCCCTGGGCAGGAGAGGGTGGGAAGTGTGGGGCAAGAGCAAGTGGTAACAGGTGATGATTTGCACAGTATGAATACCCAATATCAGTAGCTGGCCTTGCTGGAGTTTTCACTGTGCCCATCAGGCCTTGTAAGATAAGGTGTGGAGGGGCCCGTTTCAGCACAGGACAGGATGTACCAGCAGAGCAGGGTAAGCATATTGCTTTCCCCTTCTGCCTGTGGTTCTTTCACAGTTCTTGCTTCTGAGCACCTGAGATAGTTTCCAGATAAAAGATACTTACGGAGTCAAATCCCTCCTACCTCTGGACTCAGAAACAACTGTATCTAAAGCTGGAGATGGGACTCATTACTTTGCTTCTCAGAGTCCTCAGGAAAGTCATTGATAATGTTTGACTTTCCACTGAAGTGCTCCAATTTCAGACACCACTAGTGGTTTTCAAACATGAAAGGCAGTGTATTTAAAATTTCCCTGTCTTCCTCTCAGGTGTTTCTCTCTTTATAATTCCTCTAGTACATTCAAAACTGCCTCCAGTTTCTGTCCTTGGGATTTTTTTCTTCTCTATACGTTTTAGGTTCAAGCTCTTGGGCTTCTTTCTCTTTCCTGAAGGTGTGGTATTGGGGAAGTTACTGCTGGGGATGTCAGATCCTCCTTTGTCACTTTCCCTCCTGAGGAAGATGTATGAAGGGGGTGAGATGATCTGTGGGGACTATCACAGACGGTGATTGTCACAGCACAGAGGTGGCAGTCCATGTATGTCCTCGTGGGTGCTCTTTGTCCGACTGCAGGTGTTGTAAACAGGCGTTAGTGCACAACAAACCCTACTGCACTCCATACAGAAGTAAAAGGTCTCTGCAGTACCGAGAGGAGCAACTCTCCCAACAGAGGAGTGATGCAAGTCTGCTGTTTTGCGGAAACCTCGAATGTCCTGTATGTTCATAATGGCAATAGCAGTCTCACGCACTGATGATTTAATCCTACCAAGCAATAGATGAGTAGTGCAGGGGAGTAGGTGGAAGGGGAGCCTGTGAGCGGGCGGAAGACTGGGGGAGCCTGGAGCAACAGGGGGGAAGCCTGTCTTGAGCCAGCAATGAGTTCTCAGATGTGCAAATCCTGTCCCAGCTACACTGAGTTGAGATTGGGTCCCTTGTCCTTGTTCTGTGTGGCTAAGTGCTTTGCCCTGACAGATTAAGCTTTTGCTGGTCAGATGCCTCTGATGGCTGGTGACTGCCCTGGCTGCTCCTCAGGCCCTCGCCCAGCCTCTCTGGGGTTCTCCAGCCAAGCATGACATTAAGGCTTCTCTAAGTCTCTGCAGATTTTGCAAGGTTGATTGGGACCAGTGCGTGTCACTCTCGGCCACTTCCTCATCACCATAACTCTGGTCTGAATAACAAGAGGCCAAGAATCTGCTAACGCAGGCCCCAGCAGAGTGCCCCATCACTCTCTTTTATTCACCCTGGAGATTTATGCTGCCTATCTCCCTTCCCTTTGTCCACCGGTCGGGCCCTATAAGTCACGTCCCTAGGCTGACAGGTCACGTGGCCTGTGCTGCTGCCCTGTCAGAGTGACTGATGCCAAGGGGTGATTAAAAGAGAGGAGGGGTGAGAGGTCAGCAGCAGGCGGCATGATGCAAGCGGGGGATGTAATTATCACTCCCATGACATACTGCTGAGGGCTTTCATGGATCGTCACTCGGGCTGGAGGTGGGGAAGGAGGTGCTGGAGCAGGAAGGGGAATGGATGGATGCATGGCAAAAGCATGGAGTGTAGATATAGGAGGTAGGGAGTTTCATTTTCAGGAGAAAGTAGGAGGTGTAAAAGCCAAACTGCTCCTCAGAACTGAACTTCTGGGCTCCATGGGGGCAGGATGGAGAGAAAAGGGCATTTGGAAAGCTGTGGGGATCTCTCTTGGGGTCAGAAGGTAGCCCTCTGTTTGGAGAGGCTTCTGGCCACATTTAAAGTGCTGCTCGTTCCTTCTGCTGCTCCATCCCAACACTGACAGCACAGTGCAAGCAAAAGAGTATTCATATGTGAGAAATGAGAGACCTGGAAGAACTGCTGGGGGAGTGAGTCGACAGAAGCTGGAAGGCTCAGTCACTCAGTGCTGACTCTGCCCATTTCCATCTGCAGTTCCCAGTTCAGAATCTTCTTTGGGCAATGTGAGGCTGAGCAGATAGTAGGCTGTACCCCTTCTGGGCATAGGTAGAGATGGGATCTTCTGTAGAGGAAAAATCAAGAAAGAAAGTAGATGACAGATTGGAAAGCACGTATCTCAAGCCTGGAGAAGAGGATTTTAGATGGAGCAGGAGGACAGCTGTCACATACCTGTGTGAAAGAGAGAAGTAACTTAGATTCTGACAATGGGAGGATGAAGAATGCTAGATGGCAGCTGGGAACTAGATAAATTAAGATGATGTTGAGAAATGTCTTAGCAGTGAGAGCAGTCTTGAGTGTGGTCAATTTTCAGTATTGCAGAGCTGTTGGGCAAGAACTGAGCAGATCCATGGGAGAGCTCACTAAAGGGGCAGTTTCTGTCTCTGATCTGATTTAAGTTAATTCTAGAGTGTCAGGTTTTTTTTTTTTTTTTTTTTTAAGTGGATTCTGTTTGTGCTTTCCTAAGGTTCCACCACTTAAATTTGAATGTCCAGTTTTCTGGTCACCTCACCAGGGTGTTCTGTAGGCTAGGACTTGAAAGCTCCCCACCTTCAGTTTCCAAGAGTATACCTGGGAGCAGTTCCAATTTCCATTTTTTCAGTGCCTCATACTTGTCTCGGTGATCCTCAGGTAACATGGGCATCTATCACCACATAGCAACATGAAACTTAACATTAAAACTTTGGACTCTGTGTGGGAATGTGGTGAAGAACATGTAGTACTCTGCTGTTGTGCTCTCAGAATTGCGGGATGCTGGAATACCTCTGAAGAATACACAAGTAGTCTGTCTGGTTCAGTATTCAGCTTCTAAGTGTGGCCGTCACTGGTGTGTTGCAAGGAGTTTGTAAAACAGGCAGATATACCTATCACTGACTTCTGTAGTTTGAGGATGGTGGTGTGGACAGCTGTATACTGTGCCATTTAGTGCTTTTGACTAGCCTTGTTTGATAGTGTGAAGGACAGCTCTTCAGATTCAAGGTGATGTCAAGAGGAAGAGCTGCAACTTTTTGGTGATCTGAAGGCTGGGGATATATTTCATCCGTGGTAACTTCAGGTTACAAGGGTTAGTGGTTACATATAGATGTCAACAAAACTTATGAAGTAAACAAAATGAAATCAATCCAATGTAGACCAAACATGAAGGAACCAACCTTGATAGCTTCTTTGTATAAGCACTCTTTACACACTGGTATGGCTCTAAAGGCAGATCTTCTCCCAGAGGAATAATTTATGGTTAGGGGAAAGATATCACTGAAAAAACTAAGAATGAATATTCATCCAGTTTGAATTAATGGATAATTGTATTTTTCAACACTGTCTATCTCACCAGGTCTGGACAGAACTGCTGTCACACCTCATTGAAGCTCAAGGGCTCAGAACTTTCTTTATCATTAAAATAATCAAGCTTAGAAAGAATCTCAAAACTCCACAATACCTGGAGCAGATGACTTGCAGTCACCAAATTCTGCATCTTGGCTTTTCATGCAAAGAAGAGGATACACTCCTTCAGATTCTCAGCAGTACCATAGTAGGTATATAGTGGTGTTCTTCTTTTCCTCTCTCCTTCATTTTTGTCGTAACTATGCTGGGAAGCGTAGACAGTAACTTCACTACTTCGTTAATGCCTCATGTTGTTGTCATTCTCATGTTAACGTGGCTCCACTGCAGATTTTCAGCAGTGTGCTTATTTCTGGGGCTAAGTGAGTTATGGGTAGTCTGTGGAGCATTAGCAGTGTGTTCTCAGTGTATTTCCAGATTTGGAGAAAATATAGTGAAAAAATTCATCTCATCCAACTCCTGAATATCTATGTGATTCCTCCCAAATGCTTACCTGAAACTTGGCCTTTAAGAAAGATTACACTGCTACCTCATCTCAGATCACATTCTTTTAGGACTTTACCACATATACAGCTAGAAAGTTCTCCCCATTTTTTTAATCTTTCTTCATGCATTTTCAGGCTATTCTTTCTTCTCTCCAAGGTCTTTGTTTCTCTAAAGCAGTCTGCTATGTATTTGATGGTTGTCATCATCTCCAGTCTGGTTTTTTTTTTTCCCTCTAGACCAAATAAACCTAATTACAACCTTGTCTTGCTGGACAGATTTTCTAAGTCTCCAGTCACTCTTGCTCTGCTTCCCTGGGTCTTCCTGGATGGTTGTGTGTGGTTGTTTTGTTTTTAAATTGGGTTTGGTTTGTGTTTTTTAGCTTGTTTGTTTTTGGAACTTACACCTTCAGAAAGGGGCAAGGAAAGGCAGAGAAGTCCAGCTCAGTACCTCTCAGGCTTGTTTACAGAGACTTATATGATGTTTATTTTTTTACAACAGCTTTGCATGGAGATTTGTCTTCCACTTGAGTCTATTTCTTCACTTTTCTACAGTGCTGCTACCTATCTGATACTTCTCCAAACCCATGATTTTGTATGGATGATTATTCAGATTGGAGAGTGAGTTTTTAGGCCATCTCCTTTATCATTTCTAATAGCAGCAAGAATATTATTGAGTCCTGTGTCTCTGCAGCCCCTTCCCTTTACTTGTATAGTTGCATCTGCTTGTGTTATTTCTGCCTGAGTGTGGTGCTCTGGCTGACCTGCTTCCTTTATTTTCTAGACCTTTTCTTCAATTTGTTGGGGTCTTTTTTGATTCCTAGCCCGTTCTCCATTGTCCATGCAGTCTTTTTCAGTTTGCCATCTGTAAATTCATGATCACATTCTGGTACATTGAAACCTGTGATGATGGGTGACCACCGTTTGAAAAAGAGAAGATCATACCTCATTGAGAATTGGTTACAAAAGTTACTGAAAATTGTAATGATGGGAATTGAGGAGGCTGACCCTAATCAGTGCATTGTCCTCTGAGTCATCCCCCATTTGATCATGCTGGAACAGTTATTTATTTAGTGTGGCTTAAAGAAAACCTATCACATAAACTACAAGGTACTAAAACCAAACACAAGTGGGGAAATAACAGGTAAATAGGGATGTACAGTAAGTCACTTGGTCTAAGAGAGCTATGTGATTACATTGAAGAATTTATGCAGTTATTAACTCTAATAAGTGGGGTTCTTTTCCACTGTGTTCCTTTTTAGAGTTGTAGTCAGTAGGCATTGTCAGGACGTATTTTGTGAACTGGAAGTTTTACATCAAAGAGGAGTTCCAGATGTGAAATCTAAATATTTGTCAGAAACCTTGTTTTTAGGCTTGTTCTAGGATGTCACAGCTTATGCACCATATGGAGATCTTCCAAACCAAACAAGTAAGGTATAATCTCATATACCAAATATAAAATCCCTCTTCTGTTTTCAAGCCCAAAATCATTTCATGGAATTGGTGAATACAAAACAGCAAATACTCTCAAGGAAATTCAACTTGATGAACAACTCATGAGAGAATGGAGAAATGGGTTATGTTTGGCAAATAGAATATTTTCAAGGCACTACTTACTGGGGTTTAGAGGGGACTGGAAAGGACACACCAAAACAGCTATTCCTAGTCTTTGCACAAGGGAAGCTTTCTTGAAGGCATTACAAATATGTTATGCTGGATCAGAAAGGGGGAGTGAAAGAGAATAACTTCCTGAAGATGAGCTCTAGCGATGGTGATAAAAGGGGGTGCAAAGGATATAATGGGGATTGGATGAGGGTAGGCAGGGAGAATGAGAGCAACAGGTAGGAGTGAGAGACACTAGAGGGGTGGGAGCATAGGGGAGGAGGTGAGTGAGTGAGCCAGGAGAAGACAGCGTGACTGTGTCTGATCTACACTGACGAGTACCAATGTTAACTGTCACCTCTCATCTCCAAACTAAATCACACCTGGAATTGGAGGCAGCACAGAGCTGATAGTCAGCCTTAGAGAGCCGACAAGTCAATCAGAGCAGAGATGCATGGAAAGACACCAGCTTTATAGGGATTGGTGCTTTCATTCATCGTGGGATTTACACCTGTCAGCCTCCTGGAGGGGGGAGCACACTGGGACTCACTTCAGTGCCGCTTGAAATGGGGCAACAGGCACATTACTGCAATCAGCTCCTGCTTGCCTTTCCTATGGAGAGTATATTGCAGGGAGCCTTTGCTACTTGCACTGGAATTGCCTGCATTTCAAGATCAGGAGGACTATTCCCCACACAGCTGAAATGCCCCAGACCAAGTAGGCAGGGTGGCCCTAACTGGCTTCATGCTTCCCAACGTGTGGGGCTGGGGGAAATAACAGGGTAGCCACTTGCTTACCAAAAGAAGGCTTCAGGAAAGCTGCATGAGCCCATCTCATTATCCGAGTTTGTCATGACATTTATTACAAGAGGTCAGTGGAGGCCAGACCAGGAGACCAGCCCGCCTTGTCTTCTACGCTGCTCTTTTCAAATACCTGCAGTGCTCTATAAAGACCCTCCTCTCCTTTCAAAAGGGCCCCCAGATCAGAACTCTTCCCTGCTGGCTAAATCCTGGGTACCAAAGCTTGTGATACAGGCTTTGAGCTGCCTGATCTCTTAATCCAGCTGCGTGTATTCATTTGAAACTGAAAGCAGCTCCTTTTTGTCGTCTGCTTCTCAGCATTAACTTCTCTTTGATGTAATTCTTGCTTCCGATGCTCTCTCCCTTCATGAGGAAGATTAGTGTGAAATTGGCCTGCTTCTCTAGAGACTGCAGTGTTAAGCCTCCAACACTTGGTCCTTATTGGAAATCCTTAACCCACATCGAAAGGAGGGGGAAGGGAGGAAAATGTACAAGTTCCAGACCTGACTATGGCAGTGCTCTGCTCGCCTTGCTGTTTTGAGAGTGGGGATATGCTCTTAGAGATGCAGGTATTTTGGAGCAGGAACAAAGATAGCATCCAAGCTGCTGGGAGTGTGTCTTCTCAGACTGAGAAGAGAGGACAGCAGTGCAGGGGTGCTGAGAGGGGACTTGCAAGCAGACAGTATGCCCAGCCTGGGCTGAGTGACACCCCTGTTTGGAGTGTTAAGCCATCAAATTGATCATTACTAATCTGCTTTGAAAAGTAGGCTTGGAGCAGCATTGCTTAAGTCCATGTGGTGAGGACAGAGTCCAGGAGACAGAGGCTCCCTCTTCTCCGTAAAGTGATGTGACTTTAGGGTGGCCTTGTGCTTCATCTGGAGTATCTCCAACATGAAAAGGAAAACGAGGTTGGGGCGGATGAACTTCAATGAGTTTGCAAGTGCCAATGGCTCAGGCAAGTTGCTCAGGAGGCTCTCTTCCTCGCAGCACCAGGACAACCTCTTTTCCTTTCACTCTGTTTCTTGTGCTTGCCTTCATTAAATGGCTGCTCTCTGCTTTTCTTTCCTTATCCTACTGTTTCATGTTCTTTACTCCCCTGACAGCTTCCCACAGTGCCTGAACCTGCTGCTGCTGCTTCCACCGATCTCTGCCTTTCTCCTACCCTCACTACCTTTTCTGGTGGCTCTTCCCTGCTCCCTGCACTTTTGGCCTCTGCTATCTGCTGCGCTCCAGCCCCACCATCCCCTCCCTCTCAGTCCTCCATTGCCCTCCCCATGAGTACGTGGTGCTGTTATCTCAGAGAAGGGCCTTGAACACCCCTTTGGTTTAGCCTTGTGCTTCCTCTCACTTGGCCGCCCCCCTCCCTCACCCAGGTCTGCAAATCACTCCTTCCCATGTCAGCCAGCAAATTGGTTTATCCTCCCCCCATCCCAGCTTTCATTACCTTGCCGAAATGAAGCGATATCTCCTCGGCGGAGGCTTCCCGTCGCTGCAGCCAGTACCCAAATCATGAGAGCTGGCATAATAAATGAAGACAAAGTGCCGGCGGCCCGGGCCATCTCTCCCACTGCGCCACTAGCCGCTGCCAGCTTCATTATTCGCTTAAGTTGCCGGAGAAAATTACTTAACCCTGACCCGTGTATTAGGGCCCTGTATTAATGCTGCGACAGGCGTCTCTTACAGCAAAGAACAATTTATTAGAGCCGAAACAGGCTGCTTTTCTCTGTCATTTTTCCAATCTGAGCTTTGAACACACATCATTAAACTTGTCTGACTCTCTCCCCTTCTCCATCATTCCTTTTTTATTTTTTTTAAACAGAAAGCGCTGTAGAGAATGGAGATTGTTCTGAACTTGCTGAGTGCCTGGACTTTGCCCCCGCCTTTCTCCCCCCATGCTTTTTCCTCCAAACGTGGCCCATGTCTCCATCTCTCTCTGTCTAATTCACCTTATTCTCCTCTTTCTGTAGTCTCATCCCTGTTTTTCAAATTCTTCCTTAAATTCTCTCTTATTCTGTTTGTAGCTCTGCTCGTTTGACTGCCCCCCTCTGCACAGGTGTGTCACATTCTCTTTCACTCAGTTAATTTGTCTGATTGCCAATTTTTCTCTGGGCTGAGCTGATATTCTGGAGGAAAGATGCTGGGAGGTATAAGCGCCCTGTGCCAGCGCAGGGCCTGTCCCACTTTGTACTGCCCTAGGACTACCTGGAACACCAGAGATCATCAGCAAATCTGGTTTTCAGCACTATCAACTTTGCCTCATTCATTCTCTTCGAGCACTCTACTCAACTTCAGTTTGGTCCTCAGTG